CCAGTAGTCAGCCCAGCAACAGCACACAGAAGCTCCCAAAAGCAACCCCCTTTTCGCCGCCTCTGCATCCAGTGACCCAGTTTCCACCCCCTCTCTAAAACAAATCACTCCATGACCCACTTCTTCGTTTCACACCACTTTAGCGTGCGCATGTGCTTCACAAAATTATGCATCTGTATTCGCTCTGAGGTTCAGAGGCATTTCATCTGTGTGTTTGGTTACGGAAAAATACTGCTGGCAATATAAAATCCCCCACATTAATAATAAGCGCACAGAGAACTGTCTATTTCTCTCGCTTCTGTATGTAACATCAGTATGTCTGATTATGTTAAAACAGTTCTTCAAGGTCAGCGTTGCCTCCTGACCATCTATAAAAAGGATTTTTGCAATCACAATTATTTTAATCTTACGCTTTTTTGTGGTTCGTCGTTGGATAAGTGCGTGATTTGTAATTAAAGTACGCCATCAACGGCTGAATTCTTTTCTGATTAATGTATGTGATAATGCTCGTACTGCTGATAATAAGAACATGTCAGTGAGACTGTCAGAGGCGGCAACAGGAAGGCAAATCAATTTTGCGGCTTATTTAAGCAGAGAGATGAATGGTAATTTTTAATAATCAGCTACGCTCAGACGGTAAGTCACACATACAAGCAAACTCAGTTTATAAGGATTAATCGGTAAACATTTGTAATATTTAATCACAGCGTTTTTCTGTAAAGGCAACTGCATGCTGTCAGACTCTGGAGTTGATTTAGGTTTCATTTAAATGAGCAGTAGGCCACGGTCATCTTTACAAACTTTTACTCAAAGGTGCATTGTTTAGAAAATCGTAGGACATGTGCATCTTTAATGAATGCAGTGGCATAAGTGTGTGCACTGCAATAAATGAAAGGCAGTGGGTCAGATTGACCCTGAATGGCTGGTGACAGGTTACACATAACAGCAATTAATTTTCCTTAGTTAACTTCCACCACCCGTCTCTCTTTATTTTTATTTCTTTGGTATGTCAGAAAAATATCAATTTACTGTACATCTGGCAGCTAGAATAGATGTAGCTATGTTTACTGCCTTAAATTTCAATATTTAATTTTATTAGGGAAATACAAGCCATTATAGCTGTTTAATGTTTTACCCCAGTTTTTACCCGAATATTTTACCCCAGATGTAAATCTTTTTTTATATATATATATATTATTTTGATTTCAATAAATCAAGTCTCTCATCAGGTCTCTCTTCAGACTCTGGCCTCTTGCATGATATAATCACAATACAGCAGAGAATACTGCTTCTATTCTCTCTATATTTTTTTCTAATCGCTTTCTTCTCTTATTTCTTTTCAATGCATTCACATGATAGTTTTAGACAATCAGTGGTGCCCTGGATTCTGGGATTGAGAGGCTGATTTTGTTTTTATTTTTTATTTTTTGCAATTTGCATTCTGTAATATTTTATCAATAACAATTAGTGTGTTTAATATTTATTTTACATTTGATCAATTTATAAATACACACATTTTATAATATATAATGTATTATAAAATGTAAAATGTTTTATTAAAAAAGTTTCATGGTTTCCTCAAACATATTAAGCAGCACAACTGTTGATAATAATAAGAAATGATTTTGAGCACCAAATCAGCATATCAGAATGATTTCTGAAGGATCATGTGACACTGAAAACTGGAGTAATGGCTGTTAAAAATGTATCTTTGTCATCACAGGAATGAATTACATTTATATTAAAATAGAAAAGAGTTATTTTAAATTGTTATAATATTTCACAATATTACTGCTTTTTACTGTACTTTCGATCAAATAAATGAAGGCTTGGTGAGTATAAGAGACTTTAAAAACATTATAAGTAATGTACATTACATATATATTCTTTTATATATATATATATATATATATATAGGCTATGTATATATGTACTATGTATTGTGCTCGATGTAACAGAGTAAATCATATGAAGCTAATATAAATATAAAAGTAAATCATATAAAAATGCTATTGTGAATTTGGCTGTATTATTTTATAAATATTGTTTATGCATATCATGGCATCCTCACAGTACTTCCCACTTTTTCATTGTAAATCTTGTTCACAGGGAAAGCCCTATAGGAGACATTAAAAGCATATAGCCACAGATTTCTGCACAAGAGCGGGGTGGAAAAGGATGACTATGAGGGGGGCCAGTGGCACGATTAAACGTAATCCCAGCACAGGATGCCAAACAAGGCTTCAGGTGAGAGGGGAGCTCCAACGGGACGAGAAATAGGAGGGGGTGGGAGGAAAGACAGGTGGCCAGGAAGACAAGAAAAGAGGGAGAGTGAGGAGGTGTGCGTGGATTTGCCCTAATATAATGATGCCCACTGGAATGGAACTAAAGGACAGATTCAAATGTATAATTGTTATTGCAATGCAGTGTTGTGAAATATTATTAAAATGTAAAATAACTTAAATTTAAAATAACTATTACATTGTATATTAATATTTACAAAACAACTTTAAGATATTTTGTAAATATGAATATAGAATGTAATATATTAATATATATAATATTTTAATATAAATGTAATTTATTTCTGTGATGACCAAGCTGAATTTTCATTCTGATTTGTTGAAAAGAAACATTTCATAAAATTATCACCAAAATGCTTATGCTGCTTGATTTTTTTCTGGAAACCGTGATCCATTTTTTTCAGGATTCTTTGAGAAATAGAAAGTTTAAAAGAGCAGTATTTATTAGAAATAAAATATTTGAAATTTACATTTGTAAAAATGTAAGTCTTTACTGTCACTTTTTATCAATTTAATGTATCCTTACAAAAAATTCACACCATGCAATTTGGAATATCACTTACTCTTGCCAAAAACCTTGTGTCTGCTTTATGGGGCACATTTGAGCGATGCAAACATACACAGAGAAAGAAACGTAGTGCAGAGATTGAAACATGTCTCTGTAGTCTGTGCGAACGGGATTATGGGGAAGCTGTAATCTGACCATCCCATGTGGGGTAAGAGTGTCTTACTCAAGGCTGCTCCGGGGTAAAAACAGCAAGGGTTGAGGGGGAGGGGAGGATGATATCTGCTAACCAGTTAACGAGTTCACCAGCTAATCCTGAAGTGGGATTGGGTGGATGCGGCCCTGGATCGGACACAGCGGTTGCAGTGTGACCTTCACGGACACACTGATAATATATTTCTAAGTGAGTGAGTGGGGAAAGGAAAAAAAGGATTTCTTTAGTGGTGACGCAAAAACGCGATTTATTATTTTAATTAAGCATCTCACTCGAGTGAGACCAGCAAAGCCATAATTATGCTAAAATACCCAACAGTCGACTGCCTCTTTTCTTTCTCATGTTAATCAGAAAGAAATGTGTGTATGCCGTAAGCAGTCAAAGCTTAACAAGACTCTTAACTGTGGCATAGATGCCTTCACCAAACAAATCAATGTTTAAAACTAACCTGTCAAACCTGGTGCCAAGACCATTAGGCCAATCCCTTCAGAAATGGCCTTAATTAATCTCTGATTAACTCATCCCATGAATCCATTTATCACTTGCACTCACCTTTTCTCTCTTTGAATACCTACCTATATCACCTTCTCTCTCGTTCTCAACCTACTGTAATCTGTCATTAACAAAATCCCTCCTGCATATTCAGAATCTGGTGATTTGAACCTCTAGCTGGTACGAGCAGCATCTGCCAAGAGCGTAAATGTAAACGATCAGATGTTAATGGCCCTCTAATGGTAACAAGGAGAATGAATAGCTGCACATCTCCCCCCTCGTTCTTTTTGAGAGACCTCGTCTTTTTTTTTTTTTTTTTTT